GAGAGAGAGAGAGAGAGAGAGAGAGAGAGAGAGAGCTACCAAGATGTGGTCCAGTTGAGCGGATTCTGGAAGAATGCCGGCGAAACCATTCGGATGTACATAGAATTTTAGAGGGAGAGAGAGAGAGAGAGAGAGAGAGAGAGAGAGAGAGAGAGAGAGAGAGAGAGAGATGGCGCAGCGCTGGCTTCCCTTATTTGTGAAATTTTACCAGCCTTGTTTCATTAGGTTAGCGCTCCCTCTCCTTGCTTTGAGCCTCTAGAGACTGTCAGTTGAACTCCCCCTTGTTTCGTCTTCTTGTACTTTTCGTCGTTCAAGTGAAACCCATAACCCATTCGATTAATTCACAGTGGTTAGTTTTCACTTATCCAACCTGGCCACGAGACTGACTACGGATCTGTCTCCTCTTGCATGTTATTTCTTTTTTCTGCCTTATGAATCACCCAGTACTTCTCCGTCTACGTGGTAGCTGAACGACTACGTGGTAGCTGAACGAGCTTATCAGGCGCTATCAGGTATACAGTCAAGAAGTCCTCGAGCGGTGGACACATGCTGCCAGCCGTTCTAATTGCCATGTGCGCAGATTCCCGCCTTTTGACGCCAGCGCAGTGCAATGCAGGGATTCTCGTGAGCCACAGACGGAAAGAGGGGGGATGAGGATTTGCCCGCGCGAGAGAGAACAGGGATGCGGGTGTGGAAGGGCCGGTGGGTTCCCATTCCACGGAGGCGGGTGTGAAATTTTAACGCTAAGGTGACTGAATACGTTGCCCACTTCCGACCCTTCCTCACAAGATGACATTCTGTGGCGATTTCGAGTGCAGTGTTCTCTCTCATACACACGAATGAGAGAGAGAGAGAGAGAGAGAGAGAGAGAGAGAGAGAGAGAGAGAGAGAGAGAGAGAGAGAGAGGCGGGGGAGAACATGAGTGCGACATGAGAACGAAATCCGGGAGGGTTGGGAAGCGGATTATTATGACAGAGGAGATCACTCCGTGTTGTCGGGGGTGGAGGAGTGGGGCGGCATTTTTTAGGAAGTCGTGATCAAAGGAGACGGAGCAAAGGAGAGTCGGAGAGCATAGAGATAGCAGGCTTTAGCAGCGGACAAGGCAAACTCTTAAGGAACGGGTTAAGCCAAACCTCGAGTGTGACGAAGGATTCGTAATTTTTTGGTTTTATTGTGTCCTCAGACTTGCTGATTTGCACTAGTGGCAGCGGTTTTGGGAGGGGGAGGGGGAGGGGGAGAGGCGGAGCTGGGGAAGGTGAGTTAAGACTAATTTCGAGTAGGAGGTGGAGCTGGGGAAGGTGAGTTAAAACTAATTTCGAGTACTACGAGGTCAGCGGATTACCGCGGGATGGGCGAGCCGCGAGATGCGAAGGGGGAGGAGGAGGAGGAGGACAGAGGGAGATTTCGAGAGGCAGCAGTGGCAGCCGCAGCTGCAGCTGCGGTTTCGGGCGATGGACCTCCTGCTGGGTTACGGTCTGCAGGAACATCAACCACCTCTGCTGTTTCCGGCCCACCCTTGCTCTCTTGCCTTGATGAGGTTCTGCTTGCCCTGGACGATGTGTGCAAGAAGCATCCCCATTTCAAGGGCGCTTGCGACGAGATGGGTAGTCTGATATCCTCACTGGAACCGCTCGTGCGCGTCGTTGATAAGCACGCGCTCCGGCACTGGAAGATGAGATCATCGTCGGCGGCTGTCGGGAACAGCAGCAGCGGCATGAGCACGCCCGTGGCTTCGTCCGGTGGGGTTGGGACCGGGACGGGATCCTCTGCGCAGCCGAGACCGTTCGATCACCTGCCACGTGTACGGCAGTCGAGGCATAATCTGCCGCAGGCGGACAAGCAGCAGGCGCAAGGGATTGATCATGGAGAAGACCAGCAACAGAGAAGGGAAAGGGAGAGAGAGAGTGGGGAGGGAGGGGAGGAGGACCAAGCTGCGGCAGCAGCAGCGGATATCGACATCGTTCAGGTGCTGATTCAGCTGCGCGGCTACGTTGATGACGCGCGGGAGATTGCGAAGACGGCCCGGCGGAAGTGTGAGACCTATCATGGGTTGTTTAGACAGAATTGCCTGAGCAAGAGAGTGCGGGCCACTAAGTGCCTGATAGATACATTCGCCCGTGATGTGCTGCCGTTGGCGGAGCTGTTGCTGCGGGAGGTCAACATCGAGGATATAAAAACGTTTCGCGAAGAGCTGCGGAAGAAGCTGGAGGCGTGTAAGGCGCGAGTCTACGCCAACGAACGGTCGTACGGAGCAACGACCGCTTCCGTTTGCAGCGGCGACCTCACTGCGCTCCCAGATTCTGTCGAAATGCGGGACTCTGCCAGGCGAATTCGTCAGCTCATGTTCACCAAGGCCACCTCATCAGACATGGAGGTTCGTTAAGTGTTCTCTTGCACGTACCTCTCTCTCTCTCTCTCTCTCTCTCTCTCTCTCTCTCTCTCTCTCTCTCTCTCTCGCTCGCTCGTCTGTTTTTGTGTGTATTATGTGCCTGTTTCCCTGTGGGAATGTACGTGAACTCTCTCTCTCTCTCTCTCTCTCTCTCTCTCTTGTGTCCGTTTCTGTGTATTACGTGCCTGTTTCCCTGTGGGAATGTACATCAACTCACCCTCTCTCTCTCTCTCTCTCTCTCTCTCTCTCTCTCTCTCTCTCTCGCTCACTTTCTCCGTCTTTCTTTCTTTTGTCTGTCGCTGTGTGTATCATGTGCCTGTTTGGCTGTGTGAATGTACATGAAGCTCTTTGTTTTTTTACGTTTTCCTCTCAATCTCTTCCTGTATGTCCGGCGAGTTTCGAAATCGTTAATGAAAGGTTAAGAGCTGTCCACAAGCCGTCGACCACCTGTTCCGCTGCACAGAACGCACCCTCTTCATGACCGTACCGGACCGGAAAGATAGCTTGCATGCATTCATGATCGGAAAGACAGTTCAGACAGGGTGCGTTGCGTTGAGGGAGGGAAGCGGCTAGGAGGCCACTCTACGTCTTTTCTCTTCTTTTTATTTTCCCCCTTTTTTTAGGTGTTAGTGTGATGTGGCTCTTCACAAAGACGAATGGGTGGTCCCATCAGCCAGACACAAACTGCCATATCTGGACCGCCGATCACCCACGATCTGCTATCCAGTAGTAGTGGAACGCGGTCTCGGTTGCCGGGACCAAGTCCCACTAGCAGCGTTAAGTTTCTTCAACGCCTGAATCTGGACGTTTATGAGGAGATGTGCAGTTGAGGAGACTAAACGCGATTTCTGAACATCTCCACAAACACGTCCAGCTTCAGGCGTTGAGGAAAATCAACGCTGCCAGTGGGACTTGGTCCGCGGCCTATTGTGCAGGCGACGGGGTGGTCTCTTTGGCCCGGGGAACTTTGCTCAGGGAAACGTTCTTGTGGGTGCAGCTGTCAACCTTTTGTTTTCCTTTTTCTTTCTTCGTTCTTCGAGGGAAAAGAAAACACACCGAAACTTGACTCAGGCTTGGAAATGCAGAAACTAGCCCGGTCAGAATGCACCTGGCTCTGAAGATGCCCAGATGCTTCGTCGGCAATTGGTTCTGCATATCTCAGGTTGCGTATTTGTTAGGGAAAAAAAAAAAGAGTTTTCTCAACGTCAACGGACTGTTTTTCCCCTTGACCCTTTGGTCAAGTCCCCCCACTTAATACCTGAATTCTCAAATTTTCACCGTCGATTACGAAGAAGATCAACGGCCAAAAAATGGAGAATCAGGGTATAAGTCGGACTTGGCCCCCAATGTTATTGACCTTGAAAAAGAAAATAACTGGAAACAGATCCAAGAATTCTCATCAGCACCTTCCTGTCCACATTACTTCACAACCCTCACCCCCCCCCCCCCCCCCCCCCCCCCCCCCCCCCCCCCCCGCCCCCCCCTTCCCCGCGCTCAGTGCGATATACACAACTCCACCAGAAAAAAACAAAACAAAGTATGAGTATGCCAAAGTGCTTCGTAGTTAAAAAAAAAAAAAGAAAAAAAAGTGCTTCGTAGGGGGTCCTTCGGGACATTCGTTAAAAATTGGAGCGATACAGAGAATATTAGTTTTTTTTTTTTTGTTTTTTTTTTTGCCCAACTCAATTCCTTGATATTCCAATATCAAATTTGAGGTCGGGGACCTCACAATTCCACCCAGAGAATATTAGTTAGCATGGCCCCTGCGCAAGAATGACGCGCATAAATCGAAAAATGGTCCGAATTTTTCATTAAAAAAAAGGAGCTTCGTACGACTTTCACCGACTCATCAGGAGGTTGAACCCCGTGGGCCAAGTCCCACTTACGCTGATTCTTCATTTCGGGCCGTTGATCTTCCGAATCTACGGTCAGAAGTTTAGATTTCGGGTAAGTGGGACTTGACCCCGTGTGTGTGTGTGTGCGTGTGTGGTCATGTTCGCTAAACACAACTTCAGGGAGAAAAAAACATGACGGGAGGGGGGGGGGGGGACACGACTGTGCCAGACTGTTTCTTCGGTCCTTTTATCTGTTGTGGAATTTTGTTCTTGCATCAACTCATGATAAATTTGTGTCATCCCTGCGGCCTGTCTTTTTTTTTCTCCCGGGAAGAGTCCATGGCAGTGCTTAATTTTTTATTTTTTATTTTTTTTTAAGGCAGTGCTTATTTTTCGGAGTGTGGGTTAGGGAACACAATTTTATTATTCTGGTCGCCGGTCTGTCAAATCCACCCACGGTCACAGATCGGAGGCTAAGTCCCACTACGAGCCGTGTTGAGTTTCCTCAACGCGCGAATCTGGACGTGTTTGTGGAGATGTGCAGAAAATCGCGTTGAGTTTGCCCAGCCGCACCTCTCCACAAACACGTCCAGATTCGGGCGTTGAGCAACGCTGCTAGGCCAAGTGGGACCTGGCTCCGGGGGCTTAGTCCCACTTCGCTGGATTCTTCATTTCTGGTCGTTGATCGTCAAAATCTACGGTTGGAAATCGAGAATTTTTTTTATTTTTTTTTTCCCTCTGGCAGGATAACATTGTACAAATGAGGCTGGGAATCCCTCAACAAACAACCCGGAGAGTGACTCGAGAATTAGGGTAAGTGGGACTTGACCCCGGGTACGCCGTTTGTCAAATCCGTAAGTTTGATTACGTTAACGGAAATTTGCCGGGAAATTTGAAATTTGCCCCTCGGTATTCTTTTGGGAGTTCGTTGAGTCAGTCGCGGTTTGCTCTCTTTCCCTCTTCCTCTTGGCCTGCCTATTCTCAATTTATAAATTTATTTTTTTGAAAGAAAAAATAAAATTAATTCAATTTTTGTTCTTCGTATTCATCGTCGCTTGGTCTATCTAGTGGTACAATTCTCCTGTCTCCCAATGGAACCAATTCTCTCTCTCTCTCTCTCTCTCTCTCTCTCTCTCTCTCTCTCTCTCTCTCTCCCCCAGAAGGCAACTGCCTTGAGTTGTCATCATTTGAACTGACCAGCCCTAGGTAATTGGAATTTGCAGTATTTTACTCATCTGCTTCATCTGGTTCGAGTGGAGTTCGATCTCAGGTCTGTATTTCAACAGTTCACGGGCGAGGTACCACTAGCGAAGAGGATTGGATCGAACGCCTGAATCTGGACGTGTTCGCGGAAAGGTGCAGAAAATCGAGATTGAACTGCTTTTCCGCATCTCTGCTTAAAACACGTCCAGATTCAGGAGTGTGCCAACTGAGTTGTCAATCCTCTTTGCTAGTGGGACCTCGCTCCAGGGGTGTGCCAACTGAGCTAGGCCAGTTGGTATCTCTCTCATTTTCGGTTTCCATAACAGTCCATTTTCCAGCGTTTCGACTACCAGGGTGGCGTTTATCACCGACGAAACACTCATACTGAGAGCATTTATCGAAACAGCCCGCTAGTGAGGGGACCTTTGGAGATCGCCGCATTTTTTTTCTGTCGAATTTCGTTTCCTTGGGCGTTACGCTCTCGTTTTCTTCGAAATTTCACTTTCTTCAACTCGCCTGCCATAGTTTCAACTGGTTTTCGTTTTCTTTTTCTTTTTCTTTTTCTTTTTTCTTTTTTTCTTTTTTTGGATCATCGATCAGGGCCACTGCTGCTGTCTCTTGCGTGGTAAGAGCCCCCACCCAATAGAATGGAGCCATCAACTGGTTTTCTTTGTGTGTTGGTTTTTCAATTCCGTTTCCTTTTTCCTTTTTCTTTTTGTTTTAATCAAAATCGTTCATATATTACGCCTTTTCCTTTTCCCCTTGTCCCACTAGCAAAAAGGATTGGATTGGACACCTGAATCTGGACTTGTTTGTGGAAAGGTGCAGAAAGTCGGGATTGAACTGCTTTTCTGCATCTCTGCTTAAAACACGTCCAGATTCAGGATATTCATCCAGTCCTTTTTCCTAGTGGGACCTCGCCCCTTGGGTCTGTTCCTTTCACGACATATCACATTTGAGCGTGACCTAAGGTCCTAAGATTCTCGTCGAGGAGCGAAACGAGGCGCCGTATATTTGGGGGGAGGTGTCGGGGGTCGAGGAGGAGGGGAAGGGGTGGCTGGATTTCCTCTCCAGGGGCGTGAGAGAGCGAGACAGATGGCTGTTCTATACCATGGCGTTGTATCATCCAGTTGTGAACGATTTCTGCTTTCTTTCTTTTTTTATTCTTTTTTTTTTTTGTGCACGAAATCACGAACTAAGAAGCTCAGCTTTATCGTTCTTTCCCTGGGCGAGGTCGCAGTCGCACCGAAGAAGAGATACTGTCCTTAGATAATAACCAAGATCGACGGCCAGCATCTGTTACTCTGGGCGGGACTTAGTGGGTTTCTTGCCCTGGTTCCTTCTCTTTTTCAGCGAAGAAAAAGTGCCCGCCGTAATGAATTCAATCCCACCGGAGGCCAAGTCCTACTAGCTTGGATTCTTCATTTCTGGCCGTTCATATCTTCTTCTT